CCGCTGTGCAGCTGGACAGGGTCACGTGGCGCCGGGCAGGCCCCGCCCACACGCAGCGCACGCCGGGAAGTGTAGTCTTCTCTCTCTTCCTGCCCTGTGTCCTCCCTCTTGGGGCCTGTTCCCCGTTGCTAGGCAACCAAGATCCATCCTCGCAGGTAAGGCTCAGGCCTGCTTTCCTCAAGGCCTGTCTACACTGCCCAGGGGTAAACCCAGATTGTGATCTGCTCTGAACGGGATTACAGAGCAGTGTGGACAGGGGCCTCACCCAGTTTCTGTCTGCATCTGACCCTAATGCCACCTCAGCAAGCGAGAGTCCAAAAGTGTCAGGCTCAAACCCAGAACCTCAACCAATGGCTGATACCAAATGAGAGACTCCCCCCTGGGCACACAGAGGAAGACTGGGCGACTTGGAAGGCGCTGAACAGACTGCGCTCTGGCACCACGAGATGCAGAGCCAACCTCATGAAATGGGGCCACAAAGTGGAATCCACGACATGCGAGTGTGAGAGAAGAGCAAACCACTGACCACCTGCTGCAATGCACCCTGAGCCCTGCCACATGCACAAGGGAGGACCTTCTTGCGGCAACACCAGAGGCGCTCCAAGGGGCCAGATACTGGTCAAAGTCTGTGTTTTTTTTTCTTTTTAATCTGTGTTTGTTTTGCTCTGTTAGAATTGTAATACAATGGTATGGTTGCTGATGACACGATAAATAAATAAATAAATAAATAAATAAACATCTATATGCGCCTACTTGCTCAGCTGGTCCAAGGTTTTGGGCTTGAGTGTTACCAGTACGCTAATGACACTCAGCTTATGTTGAAGATGGATATATAAACCCTTTTTCCTAGTTCCAACAGACCTCACTACCTCTGAGGATGCTTGCCATAGATGCAGGTGAAACATCAGGAGAAATGCCTCTAAAACATGGCTATATAGCCCGAAAAAACCTACAATAACCTTTCATACAATTTCATTCCATCCACACACCAGCCCCTATCCATGCCATCTCTTAACTATCCCTGTTTTTGCTTCTCTCCACAGTTGGTGGGTGATGGTTTGCTATGGCGTCTTCATGGTTGTCCTGGGAGCCTTTATCTTTGGGCAGACGACAGCCAATGCCGTCTCCACAGATCTCACAAAGTGACCCCCCGGATGCTGCCCTTCGGATGTTTGGTGGGAAGAAAGGCATCCGGACTCGGTTCTTGGGAAGAAGTTGACTCGGGTGTCCCTTCCTTCCATCTTCCGTTCCAGATTCTTGACCACTGGACCCGGGGTTTCGCCTCTTTTTAATGAACTCGTCCTATTTGAGCTTTAACACAAACTGAATTCTCCTTTGCCTTTTGGACTATCACTTATGGGAGACAAAAAGGGACTCTGTATTTCTTTTAATATTTGGTCTTGTGTGCACTTGTGTTAATGGGACGCAGGCCGTTCACAACACAACTTGCACTCGCTCTATATATATATATATATGTAGACGACTGGTCTGCATCTGACCCTAATGCCACCTCAGCAAGCGAGAGTCCAAAAGTGGCAGGCTCAAACCCAGAACCTCAACCAATGGCTGATACCAAATGAGAGACTCCCTGCTGGGCACACAGAGGACTGGGTGACTTGGAAGGCGCTGAACAGACTGCGCTCTGGCACCACGAGATGCAGAGCCAACCTTCAGAAATGGGGCTACAAAGTGGAATCCTCGACATGCGAGTGTGGAGAAGAGCAAACCACTGACCACCTGCTGCAATGCAACCTGAGCCCTGCCACATGCACAATGGAGGACCTTCTTGCGGCAACACCGGAGGCACTCCAAGTGGCCAGATACTGGTCAAAGGACATTTAATCAGCTACCAAACTCACCAAATTTTGTAATCTGCTTGTTTGCTTTGTTCTGTTAGAAATGTAATATAATTGGTTTTATTTCTCCACTTCCAATGATATACCTTATATCAGGAGTCCTCAAACTTTTTAAACAGAGGGCCAGGTCACAGTTCCTCAAACTGTTGGAGGGCCGGATTATAATTTGAAAAAAAACATGAATGAATTCCTATGCACACTGCACATAACTTATTTGTAGTGCAAAAAACACTTGAAAACAATACAATAATTAAAATGAAGAACAATTTTAACAAATATAAACTTATTAGTATTTCAATGGGAAGTGTGGGCCTGCTTTTGGCTGATGAGATAGGATTGTTTGTTGTTGTGTGTTTTCAAGTCATTTCAGACTTAGGTTGACCCTGAGTGAGGGCCGGGCAAATGACCTTGGAGGGCCGTATCCGGCCCCTGGGCCTTAGTTTGACCCCTGCCATATATCCTCCACTTCAAGCCAGGGCCTGCTTCAATAGAATAATATATATCATAATAATACTGTAATATAGTATAATTAGGGACCCACGGTGGCGCAGTGGGTTAAAGCACTGAGCTGCTGAGCTTGTTGATCAAAAGGTTGCAGGTTTGATTCCGGGGAGCGGCGTGAGCTTCCGCTGTCAGCCCTAGCT